CATTGAGGCCAGAGAATGTGTGGACAGTATGCTGCTGATTCTTCGTAATCTTTTGAGACGTGCCTTATGGATTAGTTCATTGACAGTTTTTGAAAATATTTTGTATGTGCCTGAAAGAACATGCGTTTTTTATTATTTTGATGTAATATTCAATTTGTGTGGATTAGCTCAAGCTAATTGTTTTTCAGGTCTATAATTGTATTGCTAAAACCCATATCCTTATTAATTTTTTGTCTACTGAATCTATTAGTTACTGAAGGAGCTATGTTACATTTCCCACTGTGATTGTGGATTTGTCAATTTCTCCATAAATTTCTATTAATTTTAATTTTTCACTATATATTTAAGCCTGTCATAAGTTGCATATAAGTACAGAATTTTAAAATCTTCCCAACGACTTCTTAATTTATTTTGTAGTGATACTCTTTATCTTTAATTTACTAATATTGATTCATTTGCTTAGAACATCTTTTCTAACTTCTTGCTTTAAATCTGCCCATGTCCTTATGTTTTAAGTGTATTCTTTATAACAGTCTTTAAAAAAGTATGCCAGTCCTATATCTCTGTTTTAATAGATGAATTTAGTATGTTGTGATTAACAAAATATGTAATGTATTTTTGCTATTTTATTTTATTACACTTCTTTTTCTCCTTTTCCTATGTTCTTTATTTTGGTCAGGTTTTGTTATTCCCCTTTTCTTCTATTAGTTTAAAAATTATACCTTTTATTCCTATTGTTTTAGTGTTTACCCTTCAATTATTAAATGCATAATTGAATAAATGAAGTTTGGAGTTAATCACTATATCTGCCTTTTTTTTTTTAAATTACAAAGCCTTTAACTCCAGTTACATTTATCCTTCCTTTTATATTATTGTTATTCAGAATCACAGTTCTACTTTCTCTCAATACTCCACAAATTAGCGATTACCATTACCATTGTTATTCTTTTTAAACTGACACTTGTTTAGATTTCCTTACATTTATCAATCTCTTGGTTCACCATATCTTTTTGCACCACAGGTCTTCCTTCTGTGGCCATTTTCATTCTTCCTAAAATAAATCCTTATGTTATGTGAATGGAAAACATTATTAGTTTTTGTTTGTTTGCTTGAAAATTTTTTCACTCATACTTTTATAATAATTTAGCTATGCTTTTAGCTAAATATTTTATATTATCTTTATTTATTAGGCATAAAATTCCAGGTATACAGATATTTTGTCTAATGCTTTGAAAATATTATCCCCCTGACTTTTGTGTTCTGTTACTGATGTTGAAAAATGACTTTTTGTATAATTGTCCTTTTAATTAAAGTAATCTATTGTCTTTTAGCTAGTTCTCAATATCTTCTCTTTGTTGTTGTTGTTTTCTACTATTAGAAGGCTTTGTCCAGTTGTGGATTTCTTTCTTTTCTTGATATGCTGCTTGAGTTTTGTTTGGGTTCTGAACTTGTGAATTCACATCTTTTCAAATTCTGAAAATTCCCATCAGTTTCTCTTTGGATTCTGTCTCTTCTCTAATCTCTTCTGCCATTTCATAGTGTCTATTAGATGTATTTTGGGCTTTCACAATCTCTTTTCCACTTCTATGAACCTCTTCTACAAATCTATTTACACATATGTTAGAACTTTTCAACCACATTTCAGATATCTCTTATACTCTTTTGTGTTTCTCACCCTTTGTGTGTATGTCTTAGTCTGGATATTTTTCACAAACCATTATTCCATTTTCTGAATCTTCTCTCTGACTGTGTCTAATCTACTTTCAAATGCATCTACTGAATTCTTAATTTTAGTAATTATACTTTTTTCAGTTCCAGAATTTCCATTCAATTATTTTGAAAATGTGTTTAGAATCTAGTTATATGGTGAAATTTTCCACTGTGTCACTTACTTTCTTCAACATATTAATAATAGTTACTTTGAAGTCTTTGTTTAATAATTCCAATAGGTGGAACACATATGGATTTGTTTCTATGTATTTTTTTTCTTTTGGCTTTGGGTCATCTGGTCTTGTCTCTTCGCATGCCTGGTAGTTTTTGAGTGAATGTTGGACAATATATGTGAAATAATATAGAGATGTTGGATGATATTATCTTCCTCTGGAGAGGATTTAATTTTTTCTGGCTAGTAGTAACAGTAGGGACAGGTCACCTTAATCCAATCAGAGACTGAGATAGCTTAAAGCTGGTTTTATACTTTGTGAGAGCTAGTCTATTTTCAGTTTACGTTTATTTCTACTAAGTAGAACTTTAGGGTTTCCAGCTAAAGTCTTTGGTTATTTTCCAAGACCCTGCCTCATCTTTGTGACTATACTGAAAACTTCACTTAGTTTTGTAACCAATTAGTATCTGTTTTCTCCTTCATGTCTGGCCTCTGCACAGTTTAAGATTCAGCAAGTGCCTCAAAGGTAAAATCCATGCAGAATGTCATACTCACTTCTTTTTTGTTCTCTTTTCTCTGGAAAATTTGTCCTTCAAGTTCTCGCTACCTTTTTAGCCCTGAATTATGATTTTTGTCTTCCAAACCCAGTGAAACTGCTGCACACTCTAGGCCACAGCATTCTGCTTATGCCAAATGACCTGAGAGAAAAACACAATGCATTTCCCTTCAGTGCGTTTTCCTTCTCTCCAGCATCTGTCTTCTCAAGTGCTGACTCTCTTCGTTTGCCATAGCTGATTTCTGATATCTTCAAAGCTGTTTTTTAGAAAACATTTTTATCCAGATTTTACATTGTTTAAATTTTTTAGTGTTTTCTCTACAGCTGTGGAAAGTGGGAGATTTAATGTGATATAAACTTACTTCATCATAATTGGAAGCTGAGATTTTATACTTGAGTTTTTAATTTCAATCATCACATTTTTCTCCTAGAAATTCTATTTGTTTATCTCTCAAATTAGCATCATTTTGGGGGATGGGGATAGTATCCTGTTTTTATTTTATGTTTCCCATTCCCTTCCTTCCTTCCTTCCTCCCTCCCTCCCTCCCTCCCTCCCTCCCTCCCTCCCTTCCTTCCTTCCTTCCTTCCTTCCTTCCTTCCTTCCTTCCTTCCTTCCTTTTTCTTTTTTTGGTTAATCCTCACCCAATGATATTTTACCATTGATTTTAAGATAAAGTAGGAGGGAGGGAGAGAGAGAGAGAAACATCAGTGTGAGAGACACACACCAATTGGTTGCCTCCTGCATGACCCAAACTGGAGGCCAGGATCAAACCTGCAACCCAGGCATGTGTCCTTGATTGGGAATCAAACCCAGACCTTTTGGTCTGCAAGCTGATGCTCTAACTGCTGAGCCAAAATGGCCAGGACCCTTCTTTATGATTTTAATAATTTAAAATATACTTATTTTATAGTTTGAATCCTATTGTGTTATCTGAAATTCTCAAGGGTATCATTTCACTATTTGTTATCTGTTGACTTTTAGTTTGTATTTGCTTCTGCCAGACACCCCAAGAGGGCATTAACAGCAGAGGACCAATTTTTATGTTAATTTCTTGGCTTTAGAGTTTCTGAGGCCATATAGCTATTATTTATCTGAATCCCAAATGTGTGCAGTGACATGTGGTTACAAACTATAAAAGGAGATATTTTTTCCTTCACTCAGAGTTCAGATCTATACAGACAAACTTTCTTTTTAAAAAATATTCTAGTTTTATTCATTATAGTTTACATTCAATATTATTTTGTATTAGTTTCATGTGTACAGGATAGTGGTTAGACAATCATATACTGTACAAAGTGTTCCCTGATATTTCCAGTATCCAATTGATACCATACATAGTTATTACAATATTATTGACTATATTTCCTATGCTGTACTTGACATTCCCATGACTGTTTTGTCAGATAAGCTTTCTTGTCATTTTGTTTACTTGTGAATGAATGCCTCTTAGATTTCCTTTCACTTAAGGTATGGACCACAGATAGGGTTCTGACTTTTGTATATATATTAGTTCCAAATTTTCACATTACATTACGTAGGCTTAATGTCTTGGCTCCTGTTTCTGTGAAACCATTAAAGCCAGCTACTGAGACTAGCACAAACTCCTGGGGCAGCTGAGACATCAGCACCTACTATCCACTCTGACTTTCAGTTTTCTTTTTGTATAATCTTCAGGGATTTGACTCGTTTTCTTTTGGGCTCATCTGTGCACATGTGAAGATATTTGTATACGTACTTTAACATTTTTAGGTGTTTTTCAGCAAAGATTTTCAAGTTGTTCAGTTTACCACAATTCCGGAAATAAGTCTTAATTGACATAATTTTATTGCTGGCTTATAGTAAGACTTAATAAATGTTAGCTGTTATTAAATTTTATCATCAACATTATTATTTCCATAAATCTACAAAACCTGAACATTTGGATTATAATATATATAATAGATTATATATGTAACATATATCTATATCTCTATAAAATATAGTATGTGATAGATTATAGATGGATTATAATAATAGATTATAAAGTTTTGTGATAATTGGTCTAAAACTGAGTGTATGGTTTCTGGATATATGTAGATCATGCTACAAACACACAGTAACATCTGGCCTATTGAAGTAGTTGAAACCATCTCACTTTTTTCTCAATTACATGTTCTCCTGACTGTAAGCCCATTAAAAAAACCCAAAAAACTATTTCCTTAGGGAAACAAGAAAATGTTGTGGCTTTGTAGCTTTTAAACATTTAAATATATATCTATGGGAATGTATATTTATATGTGAATTACTTCACATACACCTATATATATATATTTAATTTATTTATTGATTGTTTTAAGAGAGAGAGAGAGAGAGAGAGATTGGTTGTTCCAGTTATTTATGCATTCATTGGTTGATTCTTATATGTGCACTGACTGGGGATTGAACCTGCAACCTTTGCATATTGGGACAATGCTCTAACCAACTGAGCTAGCCAGCCAGGGCAACCCATATATATTATGTATATTAGGATTTAAACTTTTATATTTTGCATGAAATTGTATATCCCTTTTGCCTTTTTCTAGGAGGATACTTCATCGAGATTTGAAATCAAAGAATATATTCCTGAAAAATAATCTACTTAAAATTGGTAAGATTTTTTTAAAGTATGTATTCCAGAAACATGGGGGAGTATACTATTTAGATGCTATAGACATATCAAATTGAAGTATACCTAGGATTATCAAAATAATCATTGGTTTATTTAAAGTTCTCAAATCTTTGTTCTTATTTTGTTGGTGTCAAATCCAATTATTTTGTTTCTGATTATCTGATATAAATTAAGGTGTATGATATTTGCTACATACTTTGTAGATTCAACTAGTATTTTTTTCATTCCTATTCCATACCAGACACTTTGCAAGTGGTTAGACTTGTTTTACTAGTTTGATTAGATACTATAGGTTTTCCCTGCTTATTTTATCACAATTAGCAGTTATCACAGGTAATTAAAATGTTGATATAATGGTTTTGTTAACCTTTACTTTACCTTGAGAACTTTCCTTCCACTCATTTTAATCTTCTGCAAGATGTTCTTAGAGAGGGAAGTTATAAAAGCATGTAACTAGTTAGGCAAGTACAGAAGATTCAAATTTTTATAGTCCTGTTCGTTCAAAGTCTCAAGTCTTTTATTTAAAAATTTTCTTTATTGTAAATGAAAAACAAACCTCCCTTCCCACCCCCATCCCACAGATGAAATTGCAAATCATTATATTCAGCTCTTTCAAAATCATTCTGTTTGTTTTATAGTCAGACTTGAAATAGCTTTTTTATTTCAAGTTGCTGGTTCTTCACAATTTTAAAAATAAAAAGTTTTGGTTTACATAATTTACTTTACTGGCTCAAAATTGTCTTTTTCCTATAAGGCTTATATTTTTAAAGCTATTCACCAGCATTGTGTAATATAAATATATCATATTTCTTTTCTTCCCTTTAAAATGGTATGAATCATTGCACATTTAAATTATCAGATTAGATACTCAGTTGTTAATTTCCAGGGCTGATCTTCATTGTTTAAAAATATTCATAAAAATTAATTATTATTATTTCAAGGGGATTTTGGAGTTTCTCGACTCCTAATGGGATCCTGTGATCTAGCCACCACTTTAACTGGAACTCCCCATTATATGAGTCCGGAGGCTCTGAAACACCAAGGCTACGACACAAAGTCAGACATCTGGTGAGTGGGTGGTGGGCTAGTCCAAATGATGTATTCATCTGCTGCCCCGAGAAAACAATGCATTTTGGTTTTAGGATCATTTACTTGCTACATCCATCCACTTGAAAATCTGAGTCATTTTGTGACCAGAGTAAAAGAAGGTCTCTTGAATTTAGAACTTGTTATATGCCATTAAATTGATTTCAAAAAGTCTTTTTATTCATAGATTAATTGGTTGGTTTGGATTTTTATTCTTGAACCCCATGGGAAAGTTCTTAATGTATAATAAACAATACATTTCTACAGGTTTCTGCTAGCCTATTAAATAAAGCATCGTAAGTCTAAACACTGTGATTTATTTTAAGGTTAACTTCTACTTCTCTGGGGAAGTACAGCTTTTCTTTATTTTTTTTTCTTTGTGTTGTTTTTAAGAATTTTTGCTAAAGATATGAGCTTTAAGGATAAACTTAAATTTAAAAATTATTTTTGCAATGATAGATGCATATTAGATTTCTCTGTTTCTCTGAGTTTCTGTACCAAAGGAATTTCTCCTTCCCCGTCATGGAACCAGTTTAAATCTCAGTGCAAAAACCAAGTGGGACATTCTATTCTATTGTAAGCAATAGGTCCTATTTGGAGAAAATTTCTTTTCCTCTGAAGAGGACTCTTACATAATTTTTGGCTTGTTAAGGGTTGAAAGGACAAACTAGCTGAGAGCTTGTTAGTTAAGTAAATAGTTATTATATGCAAGTCCACTTAAGAACTTCTGAGCTTTCAGATGAGCTCAGTGAAAGCTTGCGCCCACTTCATTCTTCTAAAGAGGATAAAACAGAAAGTCACCTCTTCTCTGATTGGGGAAAGGTATGTACAAGTGGGAGAGAACTCTGTCAAGATTAGGTCTGGCCACGGCAGATCCCCTTCCATCCTGTCTCTTCAGTTCACTTGTTACTATTCATTTCTAGGTTCTTCACTGGGTTGTTTCATTGTTAGCTTATTTCTGCCGTGGTGGTCTTTTCCAGTTCATCTACCATCTTTCCTCTATCACAACCTTCTCCCAGTCCTTCCAAAACAACAACAATAAAATACACAGTAAACACAAAGCTATGTTTAGAGGAATGCATTTCTTTACATTTTGCTTTATTGAACATCTACTATTTGCCAGTGACTGTGCTTTGGAATATAAATTCAAAGTGATAGGATTCCTGACCCTCAGGGGAAGTTTTTCTGTTATTTTTGGAGTACATTTCTTCAGACTGAGAAACCAGTCTTAGGCTTTGGATTGAATTTGAGTTACATAGCTATATCTCTCTTCACACTTAATTGTTTTTTTATTATTGTGGATATATTAAAATAGATTCAAATATATGATTTCTTCATGATGTAAGGTTACATGGTATCTTAAGAAGATGTTATATCATGTCATTTGAATTACAAATAAATTAACTTATGAAACTCATCATTTAAGCTTTTGGAATTACATATAGCAAGAAAGTTGGCTCATTTTGACATGTATCTACATGTGCTTGCCAAGTCAGATGTGTGTCTCCTAGGAAACTTGGGCACCAGAACATACTAAGAGAAGAGTGCAGCAGAGCCTTTTTGTCCCAGTTGTGTGCCGCCTTTTTAAAAACCTTCTCCTAGTATTGTGTAAGAAATTATAGAAATGTCAGGACAGTACTGCTCTAATGTTTTAGGCTTTAAAAAAATGATATCTGGCTAAGGCCAAACTTAAAAAGTCCCAAAACCTCCCAAATATTAAAATACAGAAGAATTTTAATATATTTTTTGCAAGCTTTAGGTTAATTCTCCTTATGGAGTTATTAACTATATAGCAAGTACAAGCTAAGGATTTATCATGACTTTAAATAACCACCTTATTATGAATTTAGAAGTTACTTTGGTTTTATCTGAATTAAAACAAGCTTATCTAGTAATGAAATTTCTACTGCCAAACCTAAACTGGGAAGAATAACAAGGAACTATTAATTATAGTGGCAGATACATAAATGTGATGAGTAATATTTGGGAGACACTCTTAGAAAAATTAGATTGGATGGGGTTGAGAATTCTTCTCTGAATCTCAGTATGAAGCATCTGTTTACTGTGGAATATTTTCTTAGGATTGGAAAAACTTGTGAATAATTGACAGATGTTTTGCTCCAGCACTAATAGCTGTACATATTATATTTATAATGCTTAAAGAAGAAGTGGTATAATACTAATTATATTTTCATCTGTTCATATATAAACTTATCCTCCTTCTGCAATCTGTTAAGCCTTTTGGGATTCATTTATTTATAGCAATCAAGTACAGGAAGTCTCTCTCTTAAAAATGGGTTAGGTTCCAAAGTTTATAAGCAATTATTTAGAAAGTTAGGATAATTAGGTTCTCTGAGGACAATACTTTGAACGTGGCTAATTTGTAGAAACAATTGCTGAACACTTTTTTCTCCCACAAGAAAAATATAGTATATGAGTTGGATTCCTGGGTCAGCTCTTTAAATTGATTTAAACTATGACTAGTTAGAATTTATTATTTTGGTAGAGAAACAAATAAAGGAAAATAGTACTGGAAGAATGGTACTGCAATTAAACAGAATATTTCACTATTGGTCTTGTCTAGCTTGTGAGAGGTCAACCAGATGATTCTGATCTTGTGACCCTATATTCTTTGAGTGATTTAAATGGAGAGAATGGTAGTGGGACTAGTAGGGTGTCCGAGTGTATTGTGAAGTTCTCAGGGTTTTGTGCAGAGAGCTGATATGGGGGTTGGCTGGGTAGGGGATACTGGAGGAGTATACTTCACCCCCAACATTAGAGTCAGGCTTTAGTGATCTTGGGTAGAAATGTCAGACAAGGCTTAGCTACAGGTAGAATAGAACAGAGAGGAACCGGTGTCTGCCTGGCCTACCAGGACTAAGAAAGTATCCGTACATAAGAGCATTGCCAGAGCGGGCAGGGAAAAGAGGGTAGGGAAGAGACAAGCCTATTATCTTTCTTTTTTTCCCCAGCACATTTTCCCACTCAACCATCCATGCTAGAAGACTGAGAATAAATGTAGACTTCCCTCCTCTCTCGCTTTTTAAATTCACTCAGTAACTGTGTGGTATTGATCCTACTGCTTATAAACTTTTTCAACCATTCCTGTCCTTCCACTTCCATTGCCTTAGTCCAAGCCCTTATCATTCTCCCCTGGAGTTCTTCAATATCCTTCCATTTTCTCTAGCTCCCTACATTCAATTCATCATCTACAATACAACTGGAGCAAAATTTCTCAAATAAGGAACTGTTTGACTTTTCAGCTTAAAATCAATGGTATGCCATTACCTAGACAGTCAAGCCCAAACACTTTGGCATGGAAAGTAACCCTTACATCTTCCCAGCTGTCCTCTCCTGCCACCCCCTTTCCATATGCACCAAGAATTCCAGAGAACAAGCTTATTTTCTGGTGAAGGATTTAGAAAAGGAGGAAATACAGGCCAGCAAGTAACTGGCTGCCAACAGCCCCTTCAATTGCGTCTTAGCAAAGGAAACTCTGGAGCAAGAGAGTCCATTTCCCTCATCTGTCCCTGGTCTGGGCAGTTCTTTGTGGTTTCAGAAGCAAGCTGTTGGACGGGGAGTGCCCTCCTGGGGAGTGAGCACTGGTATCTTTATTTTCACTTAGAAGCTGAAGTAGGAAAACATTTGTCAAATGCAGCAGATTTGGGTATTAATATATTTTTTAATGACAGGCACATAATGGTTAGTATAAACTGCAGGTAATATCAGTCTGGCCTGGTTAATTTATTTTTAAATTTATCTTTATTGTTCAGTGTATTACAGATGTTCTCCTTCTTACCCATGTTGATGCCCTCCTCCCCGCTCCTATCCTCCCCTGCCTTCACCACACTGTTATCTGTGTCCATTGGTTATGCATATATGCATATAAGTTTCCTACTTCCATGTCTCTGGATCTATTTTATTTGCCAGCTTATTTTGTTTATTATATTCCACAAATAAGTGAGATCATGTGAAACTTGTCATTCTCTAACTGGCTTATTTCACTTAGCATAATGCTCTCCAGGTCTCTCCATGCTGTCTCAAAGGGTAAGAGAGCTTTATTTTTTACAGCTGCATAGTATTTCATTGCATAAATGTACTACAGCTTTAAAAAAAATGTTTTTATTGATGCTTGAGAGAGAACGGTAGAAGTATCAATATGCGAGAGAAATGTCTATCAGCTGCCTCCTGCATGCCCCCTACTGGGGTCAAGCCCACAACCCAGACATGTGCCCTGACCAAGAATCAAACTGGGACTTCTCAGTCCATGGGACAATGTTCAGTCTACTAGGCACACCGGCCGGGCTGTACCACAGCTTTTTTAACCATTCATCTACTGATGGACACTTGGGCTGTTTCCAGATCTTAGCTATTGTAAACAGGGCTGCTGTGAACGTAGGGGTGCGTATATTCTTTCTGATTGGTGTTTCAGGCTTCTTAGGATATATTCCTAGAAGTAGGATCACTGGGTCAAATGGTAGTTCCATTTTTAATTTTTGAGGAAACACCATATTGTTTTCCATAGTGGCTGCACCAATCTGCATTCCCACCAGCAATGTACTACAGTCCCCTTTTCTCCACATCCTCAGCAGCACTTGTTTGTTGATTTGTTTATGGTAGCCATCCCAGCAGGTATGAGGTCATATCTCATAGTTATTTTAATTTGCATCTCTCTAATGATTAGTGACTTTGAACATTTTTTCATATGTTTCTTGGTCATTTGTATATCCTCTTTGGAGAATTGTCTATTCAGGTTCTCTGCCCATTTTTTAATTGAATTGTTTGTCTTCCTTTTGTTGAGTTGTATGAGTACTTTATATATTTTGGAAATTAACCCCTTATCTAATGTATCATTGGCAAATTTGTTTTCCCAGAAAATGGGTTTCCTTTTTATTTTGATGCTTTCTCTTTTTTAAAATTTATCTTTATTGTTGAATGTGTTACAGATGTTCCTCACTTTTCCCCTATTGACCCCCTCCTCC